TACAATCCTACGCTATCAGGGCAATCCTGTACAATCCTACGCTATCAGGGCAATCCTGTACAATCCTACGCTATCAGGGCAATCCTATACCAGGGCAGCATTCCCTATCTTGTGCTTGAGGGATTCTTTTTCTTGTGGAGCCCCTAATAGAGATGTGTGTCAATTGGCATCTGTCAAAACTCCATTTCTTTCCTTTTTTAAAATCCTTTTTATATATAAATATTATTGGACTCAGTTTGCTAATATTTTGTTAAGGATTTTTGCATCTATGTTTACAAGGCATATTAGTTGTAGTTTTCTTTTCTCATTTTTATTGTGGTAAAAAACACACAACATAAAATTTACCATTTTAACCATTTTTAAGTGTACAGGTTAGTAGTGAAACAGATCTCCAGAACTTTTTTATCTTGTAATACTGAAACTCTATACCATAAAACAACTCCCCTTTTCTCCTCTCTTCCAGCCACTGGTAACCACCATTCTACTGTTGCATGAATTTGACTACTTTAGATACCTCATATAAGGGGAATCATACAGTTATTGTCTTTTTGTGACTGGCTTATTTCAGTTAGCATAGTATCATCAAGTTTCATCTACATTGTAGCATGTGTCAAAATTTCCTTCCTTTTTAAGGCTGAATAATATTCTATTGTATATATATACACTACATTTTCTTTATCCATTCATCCATCGATGGGCATTTGGGTTGCTTCCATCTCTTGGCTGTTGTGAATAGTGCTATTATGAACATGAGTGTGCAAATACCTCTTCAAGACCCTGCTTTCAATTATTTTGGATATATATCCAGAAGTGGGGTTGCTGGATTATATGGTAGTTATATTTTTTATTTTTTGAGGAACTTCCATACTGTTTTCTATAATGGCTGTACCATTTTGCACTTCAACCAACAGTGCACAAGAGTTCCGATTTCTCCACATCCTTGCCAACAATTGTTATTTTCTATTTTTTTGATAGTAGCAATCCTAATGTGTGTCAGGTGATATCTTATTGTGGTTTTTATTTGCATTTCTCTGATGATTAGTGATGCTAAGCATCTTTTCATATGCTTCTTGGCCATTTGTATATCATCTTTGGAGAAATGTCTCTTCAAGGCCTTTGCCCCTTTTTCGGCTGGGCTATTTGATTTTTTATTGTTGAGTTGTAGGAGTTCATTTGTCTTGGGAATTATTGGGTCAGGTCAGAGGATAAGCATATGCTTAGTTTTTGTAGATTCTTCCAGTTTTCCAGTATGGTTGTACTAATTCACACTCCCATATAGCAGTATATGAGAGTTCCAATTGTTCCATATTCTTGACAGTACTTAGTAGTTTCAGTCTTTTTAATTTTTTCAAAACTCATTTTTTTCCCGATGTTGCTCCCTTCTCCCTACAGCCCCTGGCAACCACCATTCTACTTTCTGTCTCTTTGATTTTGACCACTCTAAGTCCCTTATATTAATGGAATCATACGTATCTGTTCCTTTGTGATTGTCCTATTTCACTTAGCATAATGTCCTCAGGCTTCATCTATGTTGCAGCATAAGCTCATCTCTTTTGAATTTACTTCTTAATGTAGATAAATTTCACAGTATAGTTTTCATTTTTGGGTTATCTTTATCAAAATATAGTCATCTCAATCTTTCATATTTAATTATTCTATCAGTATCAATATTATGAATTGAGAGAGAAGTTTTCCCAAGTGAAAAACCTCTGGTTTCTGTAGTGCTCATGGCCGCCTAGAAGTAAAACAAGTTGGTATACGCCATGAAGTACATGATCATTCCTTCTCACATTTGGTGAGAGGCATGAAGGACCCCAAGTTGGGAGATTCCCTGCAGCCTTGGCCGGCAGCCTATATGAGTGCTTTCCAAGTTTTCTTCTTCTTGTCATTTGAAGGACACTTAATTGCACCACAGCATACCTGAGGCTTCTTCAGTGATGAGTGTTGTGTCTGCAGGGGAAGTCCTGGCAGAAAGGGCAGAGAAGGTGTAGGCCTCCACAAAGACTCTGTGACCATTTCCATAGAAGAGAGAGAAAAAGTAGACAGCTCCAGTTGCCAAGGAACGATTCAAATTAGATTTGACATACCATTTGCCCTAAATCAAAACTAAAGTTAAGATTCCTTTTTATCAGAACTTCATTAATACAAAGTGGTATAAAGTAGAAAATGAAATTGTTTTACTCCTTCTCATGTAATTAAAAATATTACTTGAAGTCGTGGATCCTTTGTCTCTGCTTTTCAGGACCTGCTAGGAATGACAGAGGATTGTCAAATGCCATTTTTCAGGAATCTGGATCTTTAAGGCAGGGAAAAGAAAGGAAGGGGAAGAGCAGTTGGAGGAAGTTATTTCCCACTCCCTCTTTCTTCCCTCATTAGTTGCCTCTTGAAGTGGATTTAACTAAAGCAAAGAGACAAGATTTTGAACCATCTGTGGAACAAGCAAGATACAGCAGCTGCCGACAGAACATGGCTCTGGGACTCCCAAAACCACAGGAGGTGACCTCCCCTTGCAGAGCAAGCCACTCAGATGATCCCCAGGGGGATAAGGACAGCAGATCCCGGTATGGGCCTAAGTTCCCCCCCTTTCCTCTTCTGCTCCTTCTCATGTGGTCTAAGTTACCTCCATTTCTACCTTCAGAGCCATCAAGTTGTTTTATATGCTCCCTCAGGAACCATATATTGTTATTTACTCAGTTAATTCAGGAACTCACTCCCACCTTGTTGCTCTTCTGATGCAGAAGCCTGCCCTCCTCTGCTATGGAGAGTGATGCCACATACCAACGGAAGCTCCGGCAAAAACAGTTGCAGCAGCAGTTCCGGGAGCAAATGGAGAAACAGCAGCAAGTTCAACCATCTGCTCCATCAGTTGAAAAGAAGAATCAGGGTGTGCGAGAAGTGTGGGAGCAGAGGCCCTGGGGAGGTGTACTGTGAAAGAGGAAGTCTAGTCAACAGAGTAACCTGGTCATTTGTCAGTTAGGTCCAAACCAGAACTCAATAGGACTTCTCTCAAGTTACACACAGGATAGATGAGTCTAAGAAATTAAGATAACGAAATCCTGCTATGCATTTCCCCATTTCTAAAGACATTGATCTTTTGTAGGGGGAAGGAAATAGGCCTTGACATAATCTGGAACCAGAAATTTCAGGGTACAGAATTTTTTTTGCTTCAGTTACTTTTGCTGTCTCTGCATTAGAAAGCCTTTCTGAGCTATCCTTGAATATGATGCAAAATTGGGTTTGAAGATAATGGGGGCTCTTGGCAATTATTTATCCATGAACTTGAGTTTACAGGCATACCTTGGAGATATTGTGGGTTTGGTTCTAGACTACCGCAATAAGGTGAATATTGCAATAAAGCTAGTCACACGAATTTTTTGGTTTCCCAATGCATATAAAAGTTATGTTTACACTATACTGTCATCTGTTAAGTGTGCAATATTATTATGTCTAAAAAACAATGTACATACCTTAATTAAAAAATACTTTTATTGCTAAAAAATGCTAACCATCATCTGAACCTTCAGCAAGTCGTAATATTTTTGCTTGTGGAGGGTCTTGTAAAAAAATGTAATATTTGCAAAGCACGATCAAGTGAAGCACAATAAAATGAGGTATACGTATTTCAGAGTCCAGATTCAGTGGGAGTAGTAGATACAGATTTTTTTTGGAGTCTTTCCCAGAGAGTAGAAACAAAGACAGGGCTTATCCCAGACCAACTGGACTTTTGCCCAGCTTCTCCCTAAGAATTATGAAGATTCATAGATGACTTGCTTCACGTTTAGTTCACTAATATTCCCTCAGTTTCACTTTGTGTGAAACTAATGTAGGAAAAAAACCCCAAAACAACTTCCTGTGCTGGGGATGTTCTTAATAAGAATTATTCTAGATCTTGAGCTTCCAAACCATTGCAGAAGCTCCTGGGGTTGAGGGGTAGAGAGTGTCCTCCAGGACTTTTCCCTACCCCTAATCAGACAACCAGTCAGTTTATATTGGTTTTACACTAGTCCCCCCTTATCCGCAGGGGGTATATTCCAAGACCCCCAATGCATGCCTGAAACCGTGGATAGTACCGAACCCTATATATACTATGTTTTTTCCTATAAATACATACCTATGATAAAGTTTAATTTATAAATTAGCCACAGTAAGAGATTAACATTAATAATAAAATAGAACAATTATAACAATATATTGTAATAAAAGCTGTGAATGTGGTCTCTCTCTCTCACAATATCTTCTTGTACTGTGCTCACCCTTTTTGTGAGGATGTGAGATGATACTCAGCCTCTGTGATGAGATGAAGTGAGGGGAATGACGTAGGCATTGTGGCATAGCATTAGGTTACTGCTGACTGGGCGATACATCGGAAGGAAGATCACGAAGCCGTGATGATGATGGTTGCGGATCCAACGAGAGACTCACATCCCAGGAGGGATGGAGCCAGTGTGAGATTTCATCACACTACTCAGAACGGCATGCAATTTAAAACTTATGAATTATTAATTTCTGGAATTTCCCATTTAATGTTTCAGACTGTGGTTGACCATGGGTAACTAAAACTGTAGATAAGTGGGAACTACTGTACATACTGCATTTTTGCTTAAGATTTTGTTTGAACAAGGGTTATAGCTTTAGAAAGTAAAAACTGGACCACGTGGCTTCTAATAACCCTTCTATTTTTGCTGCTAAAGGAGAAATAAACTTTTGTTTTTTTTCGCGATTTGGTGAAAAGAAAAGAGTATTTTTAACTTCATATATAGAGCTGTAGGTAGGACTGGGACTCAGGAATCTTGAGTTCTACTACTGGCTGTGCTATGAACCAGTGTAACTAGGCAGCTTTGGACTTCTGAGGCTGTTCCCTCTGACAATTTAGTTACGTGATTCTATGATTTTGTCCTTTCTCTTGTGTAAACTGCAGCAGTGCTGCCGATGCCTCCTTTGAAGCACAGCACTCCCATAACTACTGTTTCAGAACCACTCACTGAGGACTTCCTTGCAGGTCAGTAGGGCTAAAGGCATGACTGAAGTATTAGTACCTATGAAATGCTTGGATGCTGCCGTGCTGTATACTTTTGGTGGTCACAAATACATTTTATTTTATTTGTTTATTTAATTTATTTTTGAGGAAGATTAGCCCTGAGCTAACATTTGATGCCAAGCCTCCTTTTTTTTTTTTTTACTGAGGAAGCCTGGCCCTGGGCTAACATCCATGACCATCTGCCTCTACTTTATATGGGACGCCACCACAGCATGGCTTGACAAGCGGTGCATCGTTGTGCGCCTGGGATCCGAACCTGCAAACCCCGGGCCGCTGCAGTGGAGCGCGTGCACTTAACCGCTACGCCACTGGGCTGGTCCCACGAATACATTTTTTTTTTGGTGAGGAAGATCAGCCCTGAGCTGACATCCATGCCAATCCTCCTCTTTTAGCTGAGGAAGACCGGCTCTGAGCCAACATCATCATCATCTATTGCCAATCTTCCTCCATTTTTTCCCTTTTTCTCCCCAAAGCCCCAGTAGATAGTTGTATGTTGTAGTTGCACATCCTGCCAGCTGCTGCATGTGGGACGCAGCCTCAGCATGGGTTGGTGCATGCCCGGGATCTGAACCTGGGCCGCCAGCAGCGGAGTGCGTGCACGCAACTGCCAAGCCACAGGGCTGGCCCCCCACAAACACATTTTAAGAGAGGCATAAAAATCCTCATTTCTATCTGTCACAGTTTTAGAAAAAGGGAAGGCGGACCTGAAATGGATTGATGGCAGTTCTGACTGATAGCACATATTCAGTGCCTCTCTTGTCCTAACCTAAGAGGATCTTCAGTGTACTGTTAGGGGTAGGGGAAAGAGAAATTCCAAAAACGATCATAGGGCACTCATGATGTGAAATTTCTTGTGACCTGGTTTTCCAGTGCTTTATGTGAGAATACTTCTTTGTTGATGCTACATGTTCCTGTGATCTCTGTCCTGGCAGACCATCTTGAAATGTGGGATATGGCTCCAGATGCAGGGGACAGTGTTGTCAAGCCCTTGTCTAGACCAGAACCACCCCAGACCCCTGCCACACCAGTCCTGAAGAATCAGATGGTGACTTGGAACACGACCCCACAAAGCCTCTGCCACCAGAATCCACAAGCAAAATCTGGACCCTGGCACCTCCAAACTCACAATGTTAACCAACACATAACAGGTGGCAAAGTGTTTTAAGAACAAAAATTGAAGGGGGAACCTGGGTTTAATTCTATGAATTTTAAAGGAAGAATGACATTTCATTTTACAAAGTTGGGTAGAATCATGCCAGAGGAATATCAGTGTAAGCAAATGGAAGATAACTGGTTATTACTGCACTTGGTCTAGTTACAGAGGGATCTGTCCTCCTTGTAACAATTGTCATTCTTGGGCTTTTAGTTTAGGTTAACTAATACAATTCAAAAATTATTAGCTGTCAGTTTATTCCTTATTTTAAAATCATGGCAGCTATATTGAAACTTTTTTCTTTCCATAGGAAACTGTGATTCCTATAGGAAGAACCAGGACATGAAGAAAAGGAAATTGGATCCATCTTAACTGAGGCTCAGGTCCCATCATTGGACTCTGTCACAAAGGGACTTTCGAAAACTACTTTTTGGTCGTGAAGTTGTTCATCATTCCTAGGGAATGAGCTTTATTTCCAAGGATTTACCTTGCTTCATTCTGAACTTTACCAGAGGATTTGACCATTGGGACCTACTGCAGATAACGCTGAGCAGTGGGAAAACAAACACTTTAAAAAAGCTTGTCATACACTGCAGTGGGGAGGATCCATGGAGATTAAATACCTTTTCTTTGGCTCTTGAGGCTCTTCACTATTTATTCCTAAACTACTATGTTAATAAAGATAGAAATTTTAGAAATCACCAGTGGCTACCTGCCCTCAAGCAATATAAGCCATACTACTAAGCACCAACCTGAACAACTGCCCACATTAAATTATTAAGAGTCATCTCTGCCTTCTTTCATTTTCGGGCTCCATGTTTTTAATGTTGCTCACGTGAGTACTGTGTATCATGCTAAGAACAAAGGCTATAGTAGTGTTTTACTATTTTGCTATCAGTCCAAGCTACAATCTTCATCTGTGATTATCTGTCATTTATAGGTTTGTCACTATCCTGCATTTTTTCCTAATCAAGGAAATAAATGCTCTAAGACCAAAGAAAAGGCATTTTAAGAAAACAAAATAAACTCGTTACTTTGTTACAAAATAGAAAATGTAAGTAGCTTTTTATATTTCCTCATTTCAGATGTGAGATATAACCCACCTTAACACAAACTGTTTTTTCATTGTGTTCAGACGTTTCATAATTCTTTCTCCCAAATAATGAGTTTATAATTTTACTTTTTAAGGTGCATTTTGGGCCGTGCCTTTTATCTAATCTTGAAGCAGTGGTTTTTATTGTTTTTTGGATCACAGACCCATTTGTGGGAAGCTGTGAACCTGAGGTAAGAACTGTGATTAAAGTACAGGAAGGCAGTCAACCATTCTGTTCCTTTGGAAGATGAAGCGGCAGTAGCTTACCCTGATCTCCCTTTTACCTTACCTGTTGTTGCATAGATTTGGTCATATATTCATCTTTTGATTTTGATATCCTTACTGCTTTCTTCAGAAAAAATATCATCTTCCTTGTCTGCAGCATAATCTTAGTTCAGGTCAGAACTGCCACTAAAAATAGTTCCTGGAGTTAGGAATCCAGTTATAAACTGCAAACAACTCAAAACCGATCTAATGAGATCATGAAAAAGGAATTTGCTAGAAATGAAACCCCACAGCTCAACAAAAGCAAGTTTGGTTTATTTGAATGGTTTCATTAAATAAGTCTACAAAGGTAACAAACTGAAGCACAAGCGCAATCTTACAAGAAGCGCAACACCCAGAGTTAGTGCAAAATGTACAATTCACGGCTGCTGAGAAACCCCCAAGGTCTGAATTCAGTTTATTTGTTTTTTTAAACAGTGTACATTGTTAAATAATGTAACGAAAACATTTATAATTCAGAAAGTTTTTATAATGTGGGAAAAGATACTCAAAGTGTACTATTAACAGAAAAATAATTTAAACAGTTCAGTAGCACTAGTTCATTCCTCTAGGCTTCAGTTATTTCATCCACAGGAGGGAAAAAAAAATCGACAGTAAATAAAGCCAGTTCTTTCTGTGTGTGAGTGAAGAATGTCAAAATTAAACCAAAATAAAACAATACGTGCTGCATTTGGTTCCCTCGTTCCTCTGGTAGAAAATATTGTTTCATTCGTCTCAGGTGGTCCATTTCTCATTCACTTGACACCTTCTTTGTTCTATTCTTCCTCTTATCTCCCCAAGAATTATAAGCAAAGAATAAATAAGTAAACAATTTTGAAGCAGAGCTTGGAACCCCTGCCCTTTTCATTTCTACCTTCTTAAAACCTTCAGCTGTCATTGGCATCTTGGGGGTGTAGCCTAACTTAATAAAGAAAACAGGACCCGTGAAGGAATGACAGGATAGGACAGCCAACCAGGCTCTTCCTATTGTGGTGATTCCTGGGATGTGCCGTTGAGGTGGGTAAGAGGTTGGAAATGTGTCCATTTCCCAACTCAAGAGTCAAGAGAAGAAGCACCCAAAAAATTAAGAGTCCTAGCTTCCTTCCCCATCTTCAGAGATAACTGAGATCCTAAACATAGCCAATTAGGAGAGTATTTCCTGAAAGCTCAGAAAATAATAGAAGTGCCAACGAGGTCTCACAACTAAATAATACTGGTTGGTTGCAGTTATTAAGGGGAATATTTGTTTATATGAAAATGTGAGAATATCAGTTGCAATTCTAGAAATAAAGGTGGCATAATAGATTATGATCCTGCAACCATTTGGACATTAAACAGGAAATAAGTAGGAATAAGCATTCTTTCCTACAAAGCCTAATTCAGGTGTGGGTCCACTTTTTCCACAAAATATTGTACCCCAAGCTGAGAAATGCATGGTACATTTGCAACAAGAGGAAAGCAATCCAAACAGTTTTTCTTAGAGCAACTTTCTCCATCTATGACTTTTCCCAATCACGTTTCTCAACTTAAAATAGCCCCCAACCCCCTTCCCTTTATATTCAGCCATTTCTTCTAGCTCTTGTCTGTTCAAGCCCAGCTCAAATAAGTAAGGCTTATGGCAGCCACTGGCCAGGCATCACATATCTTCAAAACAAGTTTGTTCTCCCACTCTTTAGTCTTTCTTTTTCTCTTACTTATCACACACTACCCTTAATCTTTTAAATTGCCCAATTTTGTTACAACATCCTGCCTCACTGTTCCTGAAACAGAACTTTCTGCTTTCAATCACTGATGTCAACTTAACTTCTCACTCTGCTCATCTTACACCTGCTCTAGACAAAATTGTTGAATGACTTAAGAAAAAATACTCTTTCGATTTCCCTTTGGCATAATCTACTGCTGGGGTCACATGGACCTTGGATTTCCTTCCACATGCCCTTTGCTGATCTGGGGTCTGATGAGAAGTTGATGCTAATGGCAGAAGCAATAGAAGTCCAAGGCACTAAAATATCCAGCAAGCAATACTGGCAGAACAGAAGTATTCAAGTACAGTAATTTATACAATTTTACATTCACATTTATTTATCTAATACAATGGAAATACAAAGGAAAAAGTTAAAGTGTCTCAATAAGTAAAGGACAGAGCTAGCTTTTTTTCAACTTTTTAAACCTTTCATATTTTACTCTTAAAACTACTGTTGTCCAACAACATTTATATATCACAGTGTTTCCACATCAAAACTGATGGCAAAGTTACATGTCCGCAGGGAACTTAAGTTTTTTTCCTAATTGCTAATGCTGCAGTCAAAGCTGCTAATATCATTTGCTTAAAGCACTAATGACCTATCATAAGAAAGGGTTGAAACCTCAGTCCCCTGGTGTTTTTCAATGGGTTCTAAAGAGAAAAAAAAAAGAGAAAGAAAGAAAAAAAAAAAGGAAGTGTAGGGAGAGAGCCCAATAGTTTTTTGTCTTGTGGTTTAGATTCTTGACAGAATAAGGGATTTGCAGTGGGTACCAAAATTAAGAGCTCTACCCACTTGAAAATACAGATGGGGTTTGGTTTTCCATTGAGCTCTCGAGTAGCTTTCTGATAAACACAATTCTCTTTCCTAGCCCTCACTGTTATGTATAGATCAACAGGAAAGCATAGTTGGAAGCTGCCCCATCACAAGAAACCTGCTCTTTCCTTCCCACTCCAATAAATGGTGAAGGTAGAGGGAGATTCTCCATTCTGAGGGCTCTAAGCGGTATTAAAAACATTCCTTTCTGGCAAGAAATTACCAGATAAATGCAGCACTAGTAGTTAGTATATAGGCTACTCTTTCCAATCCCCCCTCCCACCCACACTCAGCAGTCCATCTCCTGCCCCCAAATCTACTCAGTTAATGTCTCTAGGTCTAAGTGGTCCGCAGGTTGGAACCTGGGGGGTTGCTGATGGATTTCTGCAAATTGCTGATGTTGAAATTCTGTAAGGAGGCAGTTCCCACAGGTTGGAACTGGCCAAGTGGCTGTGGTGCTGGGCCACCCGTCCCACTCCACTGAGTGCCAAAGGGGGGAGCTGGAAAACCGTACTGCTGCGGAGGGCACATAGACTTGGTGAAGTGACCTAGAGAGGTAGCTGATGCCGCAGAGATGGGGGCAGAGCCACCCAAGTTTGAGGTCATGGAGACGCACAGCTGACCAGGTGCGGAGAACTTCCTTGCCATTCCAGGGCCCTGAAAACAAATGACTATGTGTAAAGTTTGGTATAACACCCATGGGTGTGAAATGGGTGGTACTAAAATATAATTCTAGAACTGGGACTGTTTTACTCTTTTACAGAGTATAGCAAAACAAAAACCAAAACAAAACCCTCATAATTATTGGCTCTTTACACTTAGCAAATAGGGGTGATAATAACTATTCTGATTGGAAGTGGGCAGTGTCATGTGTATGTGTGTGTATGTGCATGCAGTTCAGGGTGCTGAAGGAAAAGAGAAAAAAAACTGAGTTGACCAATAGGGACCTAGGGATTCAGGGAATGAAAAATAAAAGTGTACCTGAGTGATTTTTGTCTTGTTTGTCTAAAAGTGTTAAAATTCATGAGCTACTAAAGAAGGTCATGGGATGAAATGTTAATTCATAATTAATTAATGTTAATTAATTTAGTTTATATTGCCTCTGATTCAGATATATGTGCTAAGTGATACTCTGATAGATCAGGAACATGGCAAAAAGGGAAGCCTCACCTCATAATTCATGTGTCCTTTGCTTCCTCTCCTGCCTGAAAGAGTCATAGCATCCCGGGCCCAATTGTCTACCAACTTGTGCAGGTCATCTGTGAATGTGCCCTTCCTGCTTGATGTCATGGCAGGAGGCTGAGCTTGGGCGGCTTGGCTGTTCACTGTTCCCCCGACGGTATTTGTGCTGCTGGTCCCTAGAGTTAGAAGAAGGAACAGAAGACAATCCATTAAAAGGAGCTTGGGTTATAATTTCAAGAAGAGGAAAAACTTCACAGGATGATGAATGGCAAGCCACAGAATGGGGAGAGGATGAATTGGGAAGCCATGCAAGAAAGGAAGGTTCCAAGGTCTTATTTAACCAAATGTTTTTGCCTAACAGGGTAATGAAAACAGATTTTCTTCAGGAGTTGCAGATCAGGCTAAACAACTCAGGATGATGGTAGGCACAAAGGGTAGGGACCTCTTTCAGCCCATTCACATAGCATCAGAGTACTGAAACTTACTGCAAGTACTCTATTTCCAGCATCACATTGATGAGAGAGGTCTGGTATGGTCATTGAGGCTACTTGCTCTAGAAAATTGCAGAATGCAGGGCAAAGGAAGAAGACTTCTTGAGTACGGAGGCAGGGTTAAAGTAGGACTTAAAGGAATGCAAAGATAGGTGCTTGGCCCAGGAAAAGATGGGGTTCCCAATCCACGTGGACACTGCCACAGATTTTAGCCATTCTTTAATAAAAAGAGGTAATAGGAGAAATAGCATGCTCTGTT